ACTCTTAGTCTCACCCTCCGAACACAATGTCCTTGCCGGTCTCTGACACGCACAGATAAAGCTCTGCTTGTATGAACTGATGCCCTTCTCTAAGCCTCAGTGTTTCCTCAGACAGTGAGTTGCATCTCTAAAGAATTTTCATCAATGTAGTACAGTCTACCTTTTTCAGATGATGCGTTGGGGGATTTTCTGACCCCACACGCAAGAAATCACCATCCAAATGAATAAAAGCAGAGAAACATACACTGCCATGTTAAAAAATAGTAGCAATATATTATGTCTGTGCAAAGCTAATTATTTGCTACTCTCTCACACTGCATATTCTTTGACCACTTTTTGAGGCTTCAAGCCACATCCATTCTAAATTTGTCTTTTTCCCCCTATACCCTCTAGATCAGTTTTATTTGTTGTGTTTTTTTGTTTGTTTGTTTTTTTAAAGATTTATTTATTCATGCATACAAGAACTGGTGTATAGGCCAGATATGCGGGAGGGTGAGAGGATTCACCAGAGACAGAGTGGGGAGCAGAACAGGCAGACTGACTGAAATACACTGCTGAGGGGAGCAGCGGGAGAGTCAGGAGAGGTCTGCTGCACCATGTGGGTAGCTCCCTGGCCGGCTGGAATAGAACCCGCACTGCAGAGGCTGTGGACATTTTCACAGCACTGCACTCAACCAGCTGCACCACCGGGGAGGCCCATTCATTTGTGTTTTTTTTTTGTTTGTTTTTTAAACGAGCCATCTATCTAGAAATACTAAAAGCAAAATGCCCTGCCTGTACAATAGGTGCTGTTAGACAGGCAGATGTGCACTGTTTCACTGAACTTGCAGAGTTTAGTTTTGTTTTTTTTGTTTGTTTGGGTTTTTTGTTTTTGTTTTTTCCTTAAAGTGCAGTCCATTTGTTATATGACACAAAGGAAACATGGACACCAGGGCTAACATGAAGCAGATTTAATGCACCAGTGCTGACTCAGCAGAGTTGTATCCCAAGGCTGAGCCCCATCTGTAGGAAGTCAGGGGCTTATATAGTCCTTCAGTTTCTACAAGGTTCTGGGTAGGTTTGCAGCTATACATGGTCAGATATGACGTGGCTACATACTAAGAGGTGAGTCATATAGTTGCATACCAAGGGTGAGTAAAGGGTCAGTAGTCATGGGACCCCCCATGTCCATCCTGCCTCATGGTGCTATATGGTCTAAAATTCATATCAGAGACTAAGTTGCATACCCGAAACTGAGCAAAAGGTTGTTACTAAGGTACCCAGGCCGCTTACCCCAGGTTGGCAGGCTTCACATTGAACATGGACCGATTTGTTTCTAACCACACAGGAATGTGTAGGCCCGGCCCTGGATGGCTGTGACTGCCACCCTCGTGGCCAAGCCACTGTACTTCTCAGTGGTGGGCCTCAGCTGAGGGCCACCAGTATCCCTAGCAGCTTTCTTCCAAAAGTGATTTTTTTTTTCCTGCTTGTTCTGCATTGAGTTTTATACAGACCTTGAGAAAATCAGGAATTTCTGGTTAATTCACTTAGAAATAATCTGCCCCCAAATCTTTTAAAAGCATGATGTTAATACCCTAATGAAACAATATTCTCCATCTGCCCATGATATAAAAAGAATCTTTACAGTGCTGTCAGAGTAGTGCTTTTATTTATAATTTTGTTAGACCCACAGGTGCCTTCAGATTCTGTCTTAAAATAACATCGCTAGAAGACAGGTGGTAGATTTCTAGGACATGGTTCTGTTTCTTCAGGTATTCAGCCTGCAGCCTGGTTTCTGATAATAATTTCAGTGCTCAGAAACTGTCATTATCCTGAAGCACACTACTTACACTGTCTTATTTCTTAATTATAGTAGTGACATGAGATAAATGCATCCTTATTGGGATCAAATGCATATTATTTTGTAGGGATTATAAAGAAGATTTCATGACAACAATTGCAATTATATGGCCGTCAACTACTAATACTACAGTATGTTCTAGAAAGTCTGTAATTAAGTCCTGCCAAGAGGGCACTTCCAACTTGAAAAAAAAAAAAAGAGAGAGAGTAAAGGTTTGTCAATGTAAAAATCAGTGACATAGATGCCCTGAACCTTTTCAAATGATTCCACATGCATCTCAAGAAAGAACATTGTATCAGCTAACATTTGGGGCATTCAATTTAAATTTCTATCTAAACAAGCTATCTAAGAAATATTCGTTAAACAAGTCTTTCTCTTTTTTGACCTTTAGAATAAAAAGCTTTGAATACACCCCAGGGGGGGAAATTGGACTAGAAATATGATAGGAGTGATAGTGCCTTCAAAGATAAATTTGCGGTCTATCTGCAGATTCTTTTCAAATACTATAATTCATTGTCTTAGAAGTTTTCATTTAACATTCTTAAACTAATTTGTCTTCTTTCACACGAATTGAAAAGAAAAGAGAAAAGGTTTAAGTTGTCAAAATAATGCTTCTGTAGATTTGTTCACTTTCCTGTATAGGATGATATTCTTTGTCTTTTATTTTCAAAAAGGCAAAAGGAAAAGAGGGCAGTGGATGTCAGATTCAATATACAAAACATGTGGGTGAAGGCAGCAGATAGATCCTGTGTGAGATTTGGGCATCTGATTGTTAGTTTTCACTTTGGCTCTGCATTAACTGGAAGTGAGACTTGGATAAGCTACTTAACTCTACCTTACTTTTTTCATTTGTAAAAGGGACAAAACTAGCTACCACAGACCTTTGCTGTGATGCTTTAATCAATTCCTAGGTGTAAAGGGATTAGATTTTTACCTAGCACATAGAAAACACTAGCTACTTTTTTTTAAGACTTATTTATTCATGCATACAAGAACTGGGGTACAGGCCAGATGCACAGGAGGGTGAGAGGATTTGCCAGAGACAGAGCGGGGAACAGAACAGGCAGACTGACGAAACACACTACTGAGGGGAGCAGTGGGCAAGACCGGAGAGGTCTGCCGCGTCATGTGAGACCCTTGCCGGCTGGCTGGGATCAAACCCATGCTGCAGAGGCTGCAGACAGCTTCACAGCACTGCGCTAAATCACCTGTGCCACGAGGGGAGGCCCAACACTAGCTACTTTTGATGTATTTTACATAATTTTGGAGTACTGAGAACAATGAGCTGAACTCTCTCCTCCACACCTTCGACCAGGGCAAGGAGCATCTCCAATCATGTTAACTAGTTCATTTCAAAGATTCTTTGAACATTTTAGTATTTACACATATAAGGAAAATTTTTAAGGTAAAAGCAGCATGCAAGTTTAATATCCTTAGACTATGAATTGTGCTACCTCGACAATGTATTGGTTTTCTGGTACAAGTTAATAATCTTTTGTTTTTATGACAAAAGGCATCATCTTTGGACATCCAGAGGTGATTATCCAAAGGTCTTGGGAGTAAAAGTTCTGCAATATATAAGCTTATATCACATGTCGAAGTCCAGGTTACAATGGCATGGTATTGGAATGATTACTGTGAACCCATTTTTATTTACAAAATCAGTAAAATAACTCAAGTAGATGCATTGATAAACCTAAACCCTCACAAAAGAGTCAATGACTATCCATAGAAAAATCAGCCACGTGACGGTTGATTTTCCTTCTCTATATTAATCTGTCTAAATAACTTTTCTGTTTATTTTCACAGATTAATTTGTTGTAATGTTATTATTTGTAAAATTATGTTACTCCTACTTTTTGGATGAAGTTAGTGAAGTGATTATAATATATTAGTTGCCCTGAAATATTTATAGATTTAAATAATAAGTAATTAAATAACTTTAAAATACATTGTTCAAAGTAGAAAACTATGTACTTCTTTTTTATGATTTGCTTTATTAATCTCTGCAAGATACATCAAGATTGTGCAAGTTCTCCTTTATTTGATATTTTTTAATTCAAACTATAATCCCTGATGAACCGTATATTAGATTATATCTGCAATCACATTCAAACCTCTTGTTGCTCTTTCAAGAGCAATCAATTTAGATTTCACTTTTTCCTAGTCTGTGATCCACAGAAGTACAATAACAAAATGCTCTATAATTGCAGAGTTAATATTGAGGTAGTAAAAATTGGAGAAGGATTAACGTGTACAAAAGTATTTGGCTAAATGCAAATATTTTCCATGCAAACATAAACAGTTTGTTTTATATAGTAAAAATTCTTCATTAGACCACAAAGGGGCAAGTTTTCTTGAGTCTATATTCATACCTCTACCATAAAAGTCCTGGGACAATTGTTTAATTTTCAAGCCAGTTAATTGTGGTTCTTCATTAGTGTGAAAGTTATTAGATCGTTGCTTATGATGGTGTTGATTCCAAAATAGGCGGAAAAAGTTACATTGAAGGTAATACTATACTTTTAATGAACCGTAAGAAATAGCAATACCAATTTCAATTTCAATTTTGGAAGTGAATCTAAGAATGATTTGGAAATGGAAATAAAAAATATGTGGTGTTCCTCTTTTATATTCTTCATGAGCTGCCATAACAAGATACCACAGATTGCATGATTTAAACTCCAGACTTATTTTTTCTTACTGTTCTGGAGGTTAAATTTCATGATTGAGAGGTAGGCAAATTTAGTTTCTGTTGAGACTGCTCTTCCTTGCTGTGAGTCCTGCCTTCCAATGGTGTGCTCACATGGCCTCTTCTCTGTGCATGTTGGTCAAAGTGGAATGTGGGCTTTCAGGGGAGAGAGCTCTCGTATCTCTGCCTCTTCTTAAAAGGGCACCATACTCATCAGATTAGGATCCACCCTGTGGCTTCATTGGACTCTCATTACCTCCCTAAAGGTCATGTCTGCAAATGCAGTCATATTTGGGGTTAGAGCCTCAACAAAGGATTGGGATGGTGTCACAATTGATAGCATAACAGCATCTAAAATGAAACATACTTAGGAAATTCCAAGGCTAGGTCAGGTGCTACCTAGAGCATCTATATCACATGAGAGCTTGTGCTAATGATATTTCCTGGTGCTTTTTATTTATCTTCCAGATCAGCATTTTCATGACCCACCTGTCTAACTATGGGAATGACCGCCTAGGGTTATATACCTTTGTGAACTTGGCTAACTTCGTGCAAAGCTGGACCAACCTGAAATTGCAGACTCTGCCTCCAGTGCAACTAGCTCACAAGTACTTTGAGCTCTTCCCTGAACAAAAAGACCCTCTCTGGCAGGTAATTTTGAAAATTCTCTTCTGGGGTGGAAGAAAAGAAACTGGCCATTCGTGAGTGCCTAATTTGTGTTAGGAATGTTGCAGATACTAAAATCGACATGCAACATAAAGTTATTTTTTATCCAGTCATTTAATCCTCTTCGTAATAGCTTTGGATCATTTTATGAATTAAGTGTTTGTATTTTTGTTTGTTTTTTCAAGGGTTTTTCTAATTCCGTTCATTTCTAGATTTTGAATTGAGGTTGTTTAATTGTTCATGTCTGTTCAGAACTAATTAATTGGCATTTTGTGAGAACCCTAACCAGCAATAAAATGCTTTGAAATTGTCTATCAGGATGATAGAGACCAAGAGTTACCACAACTTGAGACCCTCTAACTAGACCATGATACGGGTGTATACGAGGCAGAGATTAAAAATAAAAAGGAGGAAGCAGTTTGTACCTAGTGCTTGTGTAAATTCTAGCTTTAATTTATCTTCACACTTCTTCAAATCTACCTGTTTCACTAGGATCAGATCAGTTTAAAAAATAATGATGAATTTTAGGATTGCTTTTACAAATAATCTGACTTCATATGGGGGTCCCTCAGCCTCAGTGCAAGAAATGTGAACTATCTGCTTCTTAGCACTTTTCTAGCAAAATGCTACCTCCCTCTTTCTTTCTTCTTTATGCATCAGATTTCATTGACCCTCACAATCAATAGGCTGGCTGCAGAGAACAGATCAGATAGTCTCCTGCCAAGCAGTTGGTACAGGAGGAAAATAATCATTAATGAGAAATCCCTGTGAACTGTGTCTTCCCAGCCTCTCTCCTTGTCACCAAGCCTGTTTCTCTTTATTCCATAATTCATGTCACACACCCCTCTTGTCTCTGCAGTCAGGCATTCATACAACACATATTTATTGAGTGTCTACTATGTGTAGGGGAAGGTTAGTTTCTCAAGGGAGCACAAAATATATTACATTTTCTCTCAAGCTCCATGAAAGTGTGTATTGTTAGTCATATTCACAATCATATCTTAAATATGTTTTAAAACTCACTGCTACAGTAAGTGATACTTTATTTTTTTATTTTTTAATTTATTTTACATCATTGTTCATTTTTAAACAATATTTGCTTCCCCCCACCCCCTCAGGTGTAGTCCCCATAGTTTCCTTTACTAATGCCCCCATGCACCATCACCTCAGTCCCCTGTGCTCCTCTCTCCCTCCCTCTGATCCCTCTCCCTCCTCCTCCCCCCCTGTAGGATGTCTCTGGCTAATAATTATGTTTTGTTTTGTTGTGTCATACTTTATATGGATGATTATTTGACAACATTTCACCACTTGTGTCTGTGTTGAAGTATGTATTTGAATTTCCTGGCCCTTCCTAACCATCTATAAATGTGGTGTATAAGTTAAAAGACAGACAGATAGGTAAGGACAATGTTGTTATCAGTATATATAGTCATGCCACGTAGGTGTTGAATTTCATAAGAGGAAAGCATTGTGTCCCGTGGACAGCAGTTACTCAAAAGTGCTGGTTAATAGTAGATCAATTATTTTCTCTCACATGTTTATTTATGAGATACCTGTATGCAAACATTTCCCATTAACTACAGGAGTGTATATTCTTAAATGTATTACAGGAGAAAAACAAGGAATAGGAAATAGAAGAACAGTTAAGCTTAAGAGGGAGTTATTCAAGTACATGAGATTTTTACAACCGTTGTCTTATTGGAGCAAAATCTGATAAACATTGCCAATCATAAACTGTGTCCAAAAAACTGCAAATGGTTCAGTAAATAAAGTGCAACTACTTCCTGGGTTCTATTCCCTGGTGCTTATCTCTTCTTTTCAAATTCATGCTCATAAGATCCAAAACAACTGTAAGCATTAAAATCTTGTCCTTACATCATGTGAATTTAATTTGACCAAAAAAAGAAATAGCATTAATTACATGTTTTATAGCCAATTCATCATGACCCTACAGAGTCAGGATAGATCAATATTATGTGACTCTGTCTTAGTTATATATTGTCAAAATGAAATATTCAGGTACCTTTGGGTATTTTATAAGCATGACTTATTATTTAGTATATTTCACTTTCAAAAAGGAATTCAACTGTTATTTTTCTTTAGCTTTCAATTCACACTTTTTTTATGAACACAAATAGAAGGATGTGCAAAATGATAATTTTCACATCTATTTAATCTCCTTTAGTTCCTTATATAAGTTTTTATTAGCACTAACAACCATATATGTGATACAGCTTTGTCACCTAATTAAAAAGTGCAATAAGTATATCTGTTAATGGGCCACACGGTGAAAACAACACAGAATGTGTCTTTGCTTCCTTCCCTGGAAGTTAATTCTCTCAAAGGTGCTTGATATGAAAATCTGTGCAGAAGAATCTGTGAAATCCAGTCCCTAGAAAGTATCATCCCCAGTTTAGTCCCTGGTGTCTGGGATTCTTTCAGTCATACATGTAGGTGCCTGTTAATTCATGCCCCTTCCTCTTTGGGCAAAATAATCATTATGATGTAAAAAAGAAGAGGGCCTCCTGTTTTCTTTTCTTTCTTTTTTTTTTTTTTTTCTAGCTCTCATTACAGAAACCAAAACCACAACTTGGAGGCAGTTGAAAGGTCAGATCCTTGCACACTCACCAATCGATGTTTTTAAGCTCTCAAGCTGTCAGGTTAGTTCAGGCTCCGTCTTCCCTCAGTCACTGCAGAGACTCATGATCAACACACACTCCAAGTGTGATGGGAGACCTGTGAGCCCGTGTGCCCAGGACCATGTTCAGAGAGCTGCAGTTTGTCTTCTCTCAAGCCAGTGTCTCCAGGCTTAAAGAGGCAGGAAAGTCAAGTACAGGATCCTGACCCGGGTTAGCACTTGGGATAATTGTAGCTGTGAAATCATCCAACTCCAGCTCAGAAATAGTGAGATTTTAACATTAGTGACATAAATCACAGGATCTAGTAACACACACCGTCGGTCATGCTGGTTCTGCTATCTTGTGTGTTTGAAGGGATAAGTGGGCGCTGACACAGAGAATGATAGATTGTAAGAGCAGGAAAAGACATCTAGGCAAACCTCTTCATTTTAGAGACAAAATGGATGACACCTCAAAAGTCACTGGCTTTTAGAGACAAGTCAGGCATAAGAGTGGGTTTTCTTGGTTCTGCTTCAGTGCATTTCCAACTCTACACCAAGAGGTAGCTTCACACTCCGGTCATCAACTCTCTCTGTAGAATGAAGCTTTTGTTGTTTCAGAAGAATCTGATAGTATATGTGGTGGATTTATCCTGCCTATGCTTTTGAGCTACCTAATAAAATGAAAGTTCTCTGCCTGCATGGAGCATACAAGCCATAATAGCTCCTTGATGTGCTATATAAATCGATCTTCCTATCTGTTGCTCTCTTTTTCACTCTACACCTTATTTATGACTGTTATTTTTCATACCACACAGTATTGTATATCTGTGCCTGTCATCTGCAGCTCTTGTAAACCTTAAGGGTTGAGGCTATTTCTTCTCATCTTTGTAACCTAGAGCCTAGCATATTTGCTTCCATTAAAATACCATGAAAGATAAAAGCAGAGGGGTGTGTATGTGTGTGTGTGCGTTTGTGTGTGTGTAAACAAAGAATAATAAAAGTGTCCCTTGAAGAAGAGTAGGGATGCAGTGAGAAGCAGTCTTGAGGGCCAGTTCCAAGTCAGTGAGGAAAGCTTTGGAAGCTGCTAGGATAATTGGCATTTGACAGGCAACAAGCAAAAACTACCTATAGGTTCTGAAGATTGGTGTGAAGTAATTTAAAAATGAGAGTGTTAGTCAATAAATATTAAATGAGAAACCTTTTTTTCCGGGATAGGTAAGAACAGGGAGGAGCTGAAATTAGGACAATAACCTAAGAATGACAGAGGACGCTATGAATAATTTCATTGTTGTTAAAATACTGAGGCCTTGAAAGAAAAGTGATGGTATGAGGGTGAGACATTGACATGAAAGGAAGGCTAATCAGTAAATTACTTCCTCCATAACTGAGGAAATAAGTGTTCTATAATTGCATATTTTTTACATCTATGGGTTCATCTTTTAGCCTTCACAGTGAATTAACCAGAATAGTTTTTTATCACTTCACAGATGGTTGGATAGAGGCACATTATCATCTTCCACAGTTTTCCTAATCACAACCTGAATTTGTGGATTATGATGGTAGATTTCACTTTCTAACTCAGAATTGTATTTAAACCTTTCAGGAATTCTCCCCAAATATATAGGTAATGCTTTGTGATTTTAATTCTTTAATTTACAAGGAAACATTTGACAGTTTTGATTCTGCAAGATTGTCAGGCATTCTGACACCCAGAAATAGTGACATAAGTCATAGTTTTATTCTTTTCCTGTCAATCAGTTGCATATATGTTATTGCAAATGTCAAATTCCCCACACAAAGAATTTATTGAAATGTAGTCATGAAGAAACTACTTGCAGATAACTCCATGGAATGGAATGGAGTAGAATTAAAAAACCATAATTTCTGCACTGGAAACATCCTAAAAAATATATATTTTGAGCTCCCAATCCCAGTATAACAAAGAAAAGGAAATTGAATTTGTGTGTGTACCTTAAAGATATGTCTGATAACTTTAATGCCATTACTATAAGCTGTGAATACACCATATTTGATGAAACAATTAATAAAATTTAAAAACACAGTTTTTTTAAATTGAGTTGTCTATCTAGATTCCCTGATAATATTCATAAAACCATAAATAAAAACACACATTAGTTTGAGGTACTTAGAGATACACACTTTCTCCTGGGATCAGTTTTATTAGAACATTTCATGGTATGAAAATACCATCAATAGGAATTTATTAATGAAAACATGTTATACTGTGTGGCAGAATGTATAAATATTTAGGATAAATTAAGGATGCTTTGGGCTTAAAGTGGCTTTTGTGGGACTGTGATTCCAAAATCTCAGCCCCCTTTCTGCTCCCTCCCACCCGACAGGT